CTGCCCTCGCCAGGGATGCCAGGGCTGGATTTACCTGGACAGAAACATTCAAATGATGTTCCAAGTGTGGCTCCTCGTTCCAGTACCCAGGGAAGTAGCAGGCCATCAGCAGTCAAATCAACCCCAGTCGGGCGGAAACAGCGGAGGAGGTCAGCGGAACCAAGGTGGAAGCGGAGGCAGGAACCGCTGGGCCAGGCTCAGTCGTACCAGCGGCCAGTTCGAGGACCAAGGCGGCCCTCCCCAGTCGCACTTGGGCGCCACAGCTCAGACCGACCCAAGCTCAAGAAGGCCTGCCGGATGGACCGAGGATATGTCTTAATCGTCAGCTCCACGGGACCCACGTATTTCACCAAGACAAGCAGGTCCAAGTTGGATCGGTTCATTGCCAGCAGCATCCTAGGGGACTCTTCATGGCGTCCAAGTTTCAAACGAACTACCCGCTGTAGGCGCACCGCCCCGTCGTCGCCCAGTTCCAGGTCGGGCAGAACCACCTTCTCCCCGGGCTGGCCAAGCCCCGGCAGCTCCCCACCAAGCGTCCATGTGGCCCCTCACTGGAGCCCCAGGATTGGACCCGATCGGCTTCAGCAGTTCAGCAGCTTCAGCAAGTCATCCAGGAGCCAGGGATTTCCCAGCAGCAGGTCCCCCAGGCCCTGGACGCCGCGTTCGACCTCCTGATCCTGGACCCGGAATGATCAGTCGCCCAGCAGACAGACGTTCCGTTCAGATGCAAAGGTTACAAAAGATGCCAGACTCCCAAGGTCGTTTGGGTCTCTGCTCGAGCAGAATAATCTAGGCGCAAAGCACGTTAACAATCGTATGCTTGTCCGACTCGATGGTTGAACAACAGAGTGCTAGACGACCAGCGTGCATTTCGCATAGGGTTTTCTGCCGGCCTGCAAGGTGCAAAGGCAGTTCTGCAAGCTGGGGCCCGAGAGTTCCAGACAGTTCAGGAGTTGCAGGAAACTCTCACCACATTCGCCAAGTTTCTTGACGTCCTTCCGCTAGACCTTCAGCAGGATGGCACTCGGGCGCCCAATCAGCGCGCGCAGTTTATCTTTGATTCGCATCAGCAGGGAAGACTCCAGTCCACATCAGCCTGGAGCCTGGAAACAGTGGGTCACAGTGCAGATGGCCGCCGGGGTCTGGCGGGCCCACGGATGGGCCCAAGACCCCAGCACTTGGCGGCCCCTGGAAGTCAAGGCCAAAACGGCCGATGGGCAGGGCGCCCCACCAATTCCCTGGCCCATGCGTCGGACCGCCTCTCCCCAGATACCCAAGTCGCCCAGAAGCTGTCGCCAAACTCCCGCCAGTCACCCCAGAGGCCCTCAGGACAGCCGCCGGGATTTTCAGCCGCAGAATCTTCCAGGCGCAGGGCGGGGCCCACTCGGGGCACTCCAGCTTGCTCGCAGATGAGCAGCCCCAGGTTTTCGCGGACTTCCCTGCGCGCGTCGAGCAGTTCGGGCCCGCGCCCGCCCAGATCTGGGGCCACCCTGACCAACCTTATTCTTATGTTGAAGGCCGCGGGGGGGCCTGCTCACAGGGAGTTCGGGCTGTGTCCTAGGGCGCATCGGGCCCGGGCCAAAGTCAGGCAGCGTGAGACTTGGTTGCAGGGGGGGGGGAGAAAAATTCAGCTTCTTAGCGCCGGGCAGGCCGCTGCAATTTAGAGATCGCGCTCCAGCAGTCTCTGCTCGCCGAACAAGGAGCTCGCCAGGGAGATCCAGCACGCGCGGTGCCCGTTACTTGGGACGTGTCCAACTACTGCGAGCACATCGGCAGAGCAGCGCTGCGCGACAGAGCCAGCCAGCAGCCCGCGGCTTCGACGGGGCCATCCTAGCAGCCATCCGATGCCAGCACCAGGCACGCAGAGATCCCACACATAACCAACAGCATTGCGGATTCCCGTTCAAAGGGATTCCAGCTGATTGCGGTTTCGCGGCATACTTTGTGCGGATGCACTGCAAACAGCCCTTGCAGATCTGGGACAAAGCTCATCCCCCGCGTTCAGTTCAGCCCCTTCATGGATGACATTTTGCGGCAGGTTCTCGCGCGTGCAAGGGGAAAGCTGCGAAGTCGTTGCTCCGCGCCTTTTTTTTAGTATGCTAGCTGGCTTCGAGCAAGACGCGCATTGCCAGGTCGCCGACAGCATGTCGGCCGTGCTTGCATCGCCCAGGGGCATCCGCGAGCGCTTCGAGCACGACCTAGGTAAATACGTGGCCCCCCATCAAGCAGGTCTTTGTAGCCCCCAACCGGAGTGGATTCCAGATCAGGAGGTGCCGGGCATCGAGGCATGTCGAAATCGACCTCGAGCCAGACGCGCCAAACTGCAGGCCCGATCCCGTCGCCAACCCGAGAAAGCCCAGTGGAACTGCAGGAGTGGCTACAACGCAGGCTTAGGTCAGGTTCATTTCGCGGGGGCGAGGTCGCGGGGATAGACGGCGTGCAGCTCCGCGCGCCGCGGGCTCTCCGCCTGGGGATCGCGCGCCCGGGGGCAACTACTCGATCGAGAAGTCTGGCGCTCCGCGTCTTGGGAGACTCCTGCTGGAGACCGGCGGCGGGCCCAGTGCCGTCGTGGAACCGCGTCGTCTGGAGAGCCGCCGCAGACGCGTCGGCAGCGGGTTTGATTTGGCCGGGCCTGCGGCGCGCGGCTCGAGAGACCCTGGGCCGCCTGCCCAAGGCTTGGAGCAGCTGCCGCGGACCGCTTGGCGCCGCCTTCCCCGATCGGCTTCCGTGGAATCAACTGGGCCCGCCTATCCCAGTTCGCCCTCCCGGACCGCGCCGGGGGCAGGCGCGCCCCGGCCGGCGCTTGCCCGAGCTTCGCCCAGGATCTCCACGAACAGACTCGACGTGAAAGTCCCCGCAGGAAAGTCAGCTACCAAGCTTCGCCTCGACGGGGCCGCCCCAGATGTCGCGGTCGCCCAGGAGAGCCTCGCCGCCGCCCCCCTCGTCGAGGCTGAGACAACCGCCCTCTTTCCTAACCCGCCCGCGCCGCGCCATCTGGTCGAGAAGCAGGATTAAATTTGCGGGGGCACGAGGTGGAGCCAGACCAATGTCAGCGCGGAGCCGAGCCAGACGACCATCCGCACCGCTTCCTGAGACGCCCAACGACTGAGCCCCGCAGACAGCGGTTCCACGGCAGAAGAACTTGATTTTAGAACCATCAATGATAATTTTCCCTTTTCCGTTGGGTTCTAGTTGGAATGCAACTTCGACATCGGAGGCCCGGCTGGGGCCAGCCCGGATTCGATTCTGGTCGGCGGGCCCCACGGCGCTCGCCGACCAGAATCGCCCGCCCGCCAGTCTGGTTGGCAGGGTTTCTTCGGACTGCCCGCGTTTAGAACCAGGTAGCCGGCTGGGCGGTGTTGCGAAGACGAACGAAGCTGGCGAGGTTACCGCGGCCTTAGCAGGCCAAGTCGGCCGATGCCTCCCTCAGTCACCCCCGCTGCTGAGCACTGTGACGTGATTGCTGCTATCTCCTCCTCCTCCCCCTTCCTCCTCCCCCCCTCCTCCTCCTCCTCCATCCGTGAGATGTCAGTCGGCTGTCGGGGCGTCGCGGATTTTCGTGCCTCGGGGTTGCCCCGACGCCGCGGGCGCGCAGAAATGCGACCCCTGGTGCGGGCGGCCACGGGCTGGCACCCGCACTTGGAGTTTTCGAAAGTCAAAGCCCACTGGGGCTTCGGCCCCCAACCCGTTGGGTCGGAAAAGCGGGTCGCCGCTCAAGGCAGCCTCGGGGCCGGCGCATTTGCGGGGGTCGCCTCGAGAGCCTCTGACCGACCTTCGGGCGCGGGTGCGGGCGCCCTGGCCGCAGGGCCTCGTCTTCTTAGTGCGCGACATTCGTTCGTGGCCTAGGCCCTCCAGGAGCGGCGTCCACTCGGGCTCTTTGCCCCCAAGGAGGCCTTCGGCAAGCCCGCCGACGGCGCGGCTTCCATCCCGGAGATTCGGAAGCCGCCCAGGGATTTAGTTCCACCCCCGCCGCCAACCCCCGCCCCATCGGAGAACGACGGGGGCGCGGGCGCGCAGCGGCGGGGGTTCGCCTCCTGCGCGTCGACTGCCGCGAGGGAGCGGCCGGCAAGAAGACGGCCCAGCGTCTCGGGCGCGCGCCAAAGCTAGCCCCGCTATGCGCGCGCCCCCGCGGCCAGCGGATGCTGGCATGCGTCGTTCAGAAAAGTGGTTTTCGTTTTTTGCTGCCCCAGATGCGGCGAACTCGCCGCGTCGAACCCCCGCGCCGCGCCAGCGAATGCACTCGACGCTTCGCGCGGCCAGGCGGCGGGGCCAAGTTGCCACTCCTCCAGCGCGGGGGGCGCCTTGGTTGTTCTTTTCCCGCGCCCGCGCATTTCGAACGGCCCACCCCGCTGCGCCGGAGCCCCCGGCGCGGAGCCCGAGAGCTCGCGCAGCACGGGGCCCGCCCCGCAGACGAGGGCGAGGTCGCAGCGGACGTGGCAGCAGTGGCAGAGTAGCCAGAGGACAGCTGACCCCCCCTCAACCGCGCGACGGACGTCCTCCCCCTCCTCCCCCCCCCTCGTGCGGCGGTCGTTCTGGGCCTGGGCCGTGCTGGAAGATCGCCTCGCTTGGTTGCGTGAACTTCGGCACGGCGCGCAGCGCGAGCGAGCCTCCCGGTCCGCCCGCGATCCCGCCGCCGAAATGCCCGCGCCCGCCCTTGCCTGGACTTGGCAGCGCCTCCCGCGGCACGCGCGCAGGCGCCGCCGAAGAAAGGGGGGCGAGGTTGCAGCGGGTGAAGCAGTCAACGCGGCAACAGTGGATCGGCTATGCGCAGTCGGGTTGAACATGTCAGTTCTGCCCCCCCCCAGCAAGCGCGATGCGCCGCGGCGGTTCTGCCGGCGCCGCCGAGCCCCGCGCGCCGAGGAAGCGCTTCATCAAAAGGGCGGAGACGGCAAGGTGGTTGCTGAAGGTGGGGAGTTGGGCCGCTGGGCAAGCGGGCCACCGGCCTTGCCGCCGGGCCTCCAGCCCTCTCCTTCAGGGCGCGGGGGGCCCTGGGCGAAAAGGAGCTGCTGCAGTCGGTGGAGCTGGCTGGCAAGTTCGGCGACGACGCGGCCACCGCGCAGTGCCAGGTCGCGCCGCAGAGGCTGCGCCGGCAGGGGTCAGCGCGCAAGGCCCTGCAGCAGCGCGCCGCCCGCGCCTGCCAGAGCACGCTGCTGGCGGAGAAGATGTTGTCCAAGGTGCTCAAGCAGCTCGAGAAGTTGCGTGGTTGGGTTGCTGAGAAGGAGGCCGACGCCCTGCGCATGTCGGAGAGGCTGGAGGAGGTTGGCGCCAAACGCGAGGCACTCGTCGCCGAGCTCCGCAGCAGCGCGCGCGAAGTCAAGCCTACAGAGGGCGGCGCGGCGGCTCCTGGTCGCCAAGTTCACCGGGGCGGATGCCCTCCTCAACGCTTCGGGCACCGAGCGCGAGCTCGCCAAGGAGCACAGAGACTCGCCCCAGTAGGGCCGAGGAACTACAGGGCGGCCTCGCCGGCATCCCCTGCAACCTGATCGCAGAGTTACCCAGCGATGCCGACGATCGCCCGCGCGGACCGCGCGTTGCGCGCGTTCCAGACGAAGCGCGGGGCGGAGCAGCGGAGACAGGTGAAGTCGGCTCGGCGCCAGGGGCGTCTGACGAGAGAGCAGGACAGGCCGGCTCCAGCGGGTCAGGTTCCGGAGCGGCGACGTTGGGCGCAGCGCCGCCGCCGCCGGGGCCGCCTGCCGCCGCGCTGCATGACGTGCGCCAGCAAGAAGCGGGACAAGTTTCTCGCATGCGCGGCATTGCGAGACCTCGCCGAAATTTCAAATCAATCGATCTCAGGGTATGATGCGACTCAATGGGATGCCCGGAGCAGCTGTCTCGCGTTGCTACTGCATCATGCAAGCGTCCATGGTTCCACAGCGCGAGGGGGAATTCTTGAAGGGCCCCACTCTGCGGCCAGAGGTGGCATGGCGGGCTAACCCCTGGCCGCGACACACGCGCGCGTGCATGTCATGCCCACCATGGACATCGTAGATCTGCCTTGGCGCATGTCTTTGGACATCGCAATATATGACTACGGGGACTCTTCGACGGGCAGTCAATTCAGAGTGCACATGGCATAATTCACGTGGCCGTTTAGCTTTACTTCGGTATTCGGGCGACGAAATCTATACATATCCACTGCTCCCTGACCATGCCCATCTTGAACCCAGGAGCTGTGCATGCGCCCTCCTGGCCAAGCCAGGAGGGCGTGGCGTATACACCGCTGCGGGGTTGAGGATGGGCCTGGCCAGGGAGCAGTGGATATGTATAGATTTCGTCGCCCTAGGTATATCTCGGGAAATTGCGCGTCAGGCGACAGCTGGTCAGGCGGCGGCAATTTGTTCATCGCGGCGCCTTGCGGGGGCTATCCACCGCACTCTCGGAAATCCTTTCACGGGGTCGGCGGTGAGTCCGGGGGCGCTTGAAACTGCGGGGGGGGGAGGGGGGGGGGGCAGAGGGAACAAGTTTCAAAGCAGATCTCTTGTATTTCAGAAGAGAGCCAGGATATTCAAGTGGACCCATGCTTTTCTGGGCAAAAACCACAACGAAAGTGTTCGCGAAAAGGTCATCTGGCGGGATTGAACCACGTGACCGAGGTCCGCGGGTTTGCCCCCCGCGAGCTGACATGCGCCAGGCGTTCTCTTGATTCGCTGTCGCGACCATCTGCCGGCGCGAAATCCTCGACCTCTTTGCTTATCTTGCGCGGATACCCAAGTTGGCACGGGTCGGCCGCCCCAGTTTGGGCGGTGCGCCGGAGAGGTATTTGCGCAGCAGGTCGGTGCTTCGAGCCACGCGCCGCCCCTCGAAACGCCGCGGAGATCACCGGGGTCTGCCTTCGCAGCGCCGCAAGAACATCTTTCTTGGAGGAAGGTGGCCGGCCCCCCGTCGGCTCTCCGTCGGCGCCTCCAGAGGAGCCCTGCCTTGCACTGGGCCCTGCCCCCAGTGCTCGAATCTTGCGGCAGCGGAGTGTTGAGATTTAAACAGGCACAACTGGCTTCGCGGCGCTGCTTGACGGTTTCGGGGGGGGCATCCTGCTCGCGACCCGTTGACCTGAGATGGTTAAGTTGTTGTTCCGCGAGGATGGCGCCCCAAGGCAGCTCGGGGGAGACGCTGGCCAGCGCGGCCCGCGATGTAGGACGCAGGATATGCGACGACATCACTGCGGCCCAGTAGCGCTCTCCAAAATGTCCGCGCTTCGAAAAGGCGGAGCTGTCCGGTCTTACGACAGAGCGATGTCTGCGGGAAGCGCTCCGCAATCGCCTTGCCGCACGCCGCGCAGGTGCTGCCTTGATTCGACTTGGTGCCGCCTGCGGGCCTGCGCCGCGGTCGCCGAGCGAAGGGCCGAGCCCCAGACATGCGACGTCCTGATTTTTTTCAGGACGGCGTCCCTGGAAGTCCAGACCCTTTCCCCGGGGCCGGTTTTTCGTCCTGAGTCGTTTTTTGACGGTCCCGAGGCCCGGCGAGGGCCTCTGGAGGCCGAAAATCATGAAAAACCTCCGTCCTGAATTTTTCACGACGCGATCATGTCTGGGGCTGGGTCTGGCCGAGACCATTGCCGAAGCGCTCGCCCTGGATCATCCGAGCACGTTGCGGAGCTGCTGCTTTGTGCGAGCGGCTCCCTCGAGCGCCCGGGAGACCGGGCGCCGCGTCCTCGACGCGAGGGTGGAGTCCAGATTCACGCTCGAGAGGAGGAGGAGGAGGAGGAGGAGGAGGAGGAGGAGGATTCTGAACATAGGAGTAAGGTACGGTCAGGTATCTATGTATAGCGTGTATCGCTTTCTGGGGCAGAGTTTCGACGCTAGGTTCCACGCTAAGTGAAAGCTGAAACAAATCTTGAAAACGGGAGGCGGGGTCCCCCAACTGATTGTACACATAAGCGTTCCATGAAATTCTCATCAAGCCTAGCGCTATTACGAATAGTACGAGTACGAAAACGACTACGACTACGACGACGACAACGACTAATACGACGACGACGATGGCTACTACGACGACGACCACTGCTACTACTACTACTACTACTACTACTACTACTACTACTACTACTAAGATATGTCAGGATGTCTCACGCGATGTGGGCAATTCTACAAAGAAACGTGAGGATGTCTTCGGCGATTTGGCCAACTCTTTAAGAAATACAAGGGTGTCTCAAGCGATTTGGCCAATTCTGCAAAGACATGTCAGGACGTCTCAAGCGATTTGGCCGATTCTATCAAGACACGTCAGGTTGTCTCAGGCGATTTAATCAATTCTATAAGAAATGCGAGGATGTCTCAAACGATTTTGACAATTTTATATATATATATATATATATATATATATAAACGTAAGGATGTCTGAGCGTTTGGGCAAATTCTATAAAGAAATGTGAGGATGTCTCAGGCGATTTCGCAAATTCTACTCAGAAATGTGAGCAGTCTCAGGCGATCTGGTCAATTCTATAAGAAATGTAAGGATGTCTGAAGCTATTTGGTCAATTCTATAAGAAACGTAAGGATGTCTCACGCGATTTGGGCAATTCTACAAAGAAATGAAATTTGAGGATGTCTGAGGCGATTTGGCCAATTCTCCTCCTCGGGCGCGGGGAATGTAATCGTTTCGCCGAATGGGGGGGATTCTTAAGTGCTTCCTCGAGTTACACGAAATATTTCGTGCGAAAAATGAAAAAAATAAAAAAACACCCTCCACAATGATTAAAAGAAATGGTGGCAACGGCGTCCCCTGACCATTGCTTTACTGTCCCGACGTAATCGTCGGCGCAACAATGAAGCGCGAAGGAAGAAAACAGTACAGGTCAATTCTCTTGGCCCTGTTCCCGGGAGGAGGGGGGAGGAGGGGGGTCAAGAGAACTGGACAGGTCAGGGGGGGAGGGGCAAACGGTACAAGTCACCTCTCTTGACCCTCCTCCCAAAGGGAGAAACACAGCGAAGGTCAGTTCTCCCCGCCCTCGAGAAAAATCAGGGAAAGAGGGGGGAGAAGAAACGCTCCTGCTACTGTTACTACTACTACTACTACTACTACTACTACTACTACTACTACTACTACTACTACTACTACTACTACTACTACTACTACTACTACTACTACTACTACTACTACTACTACTACTACTACTACTACTACTACTACTACTACTACTACTACTACTACTACTACTACTACTACTACTACTACTACGACTACTACTACTACTACTACTACTACTACTACGACTACTACTACTACTAACTACTACTACTACTACTACTACTACTACTACTACTAGACTACTACTACTACTACTACTACTACTACTACTACTACTACTACTACTACTACTACTACTACTACTACTACTACTACTACTACTACTACTACTACTACTACTACTACTACTACTACTACTACTACTACTACTACTGCACCCGCCCTAGCAAGCCCCCAATCCATCGCAAACGCAACTTGGCGCCTGGGCGGCTGCTCCTGCGACTCCACTAGCGGAACTTCCAGAGGGGGCTCGAATCGTTGATTCTCGCGCGATGGCCGCGAGGCGTCAAACTGCGCCCGGGCCATGCAAAAAAAAAGAGAAGCGGCTGCGCCGCTTCTCTCTCTCTCTCTCTCTCTCTCTCTCTCTCTTTTTTTGGGGGGGTGTGGTCTTCATGGTGGGAGGGGGGGCGGCTGCGCCGCTTCTCTCTCGGTCTTTTATTATTATTTATTTTCATGGCGGGGGTTAAGGGGGAGGCACTGTTTTTGACGATGGTTGCGGTCAGGGGCCGCGCTCCGAAAAACGAACTTGGCAGGAAACCACTGCAGCCCAAAAAAAGTCATGCCGACCTTGATTCAGCTCGAAATTCCTGCTATCAAACGCTTTTGGGGCGCATGCAGCGCGCGCGCAGGAAGCAGTGGCCAAATTGGGGCCTTGGCACGGCCGAACTCAAACGAATTGCGCCGCAATCGGAGAAGATCAGAATCGCTGCCGCGCTAGCACTGCGACCAAGTGCACTCGCACGGAGGCCCAGATTGATCAGCGACAAACGTCACGCTACAGGGGGCGCAGCTCCAAATTTCAGGACCCCCCACTAGCGCCACCACCACCGCCACCACCACCACCACCCCCGCCCGCCCCGCCCCGCCACCGCCACCCCGCCCAGCCCACCCACCCACCCACCACCACCACCACCACCACCGACGCCAACACCCACCACGCCACGCACGCACGCGCACGCACGCCCGCACGCCCGCACGCACGCAAACACGCACGCGCACCAAAAACAGATCCGCCACGAACGCCACTTCCACCGCCCTTAGCGTGTACAGGGATGGCGCCTGGGCGGCGGCTCCAGGGCCCCACGAGCGGTGC